TCTTGTATTCTATCCCTTTCAAAATGAATGCTATCATTGCATTTGTCTTCCTAACTGCCAACTGAACCGGTGTGTTAACATTGAGAATCCTGAACTAGGACTCCTAAATCCCTTTGTGCTTCAGATTTCCAAAGCCTTACCCCATATACGAAATAGTTCATACTTCTATTCTTCCTTTCAAAGTGCAAAACCTCACACTCTCCCACATTCAGGAACCTAGTCTCAGAATTCACGATATCACTGTCTATCTTAATGAAGAATTATGCCATATTATGTTAACTCTTCCTCAGAGGATCCTGCACAGCTAGATTGACAATTCTTTCTTTCTTGTTACACAATACCCAGTCTAGGATATCCTGTTTTCTTGTGGTTCCTCAATGTATTAATCCAGAAAACCATTCCATGTACACTCCAGGAATTCCTTTTCTAGGGTATTGATGCTGATTTGATTTGATTTGCCCAATCTATGTGCAAAATTAAGGTCATTCCTAACTACAACTGTACAGTTTTTGCTTGTGTTTCTGATTTGCTGTATAATGCCTTCCCCAACATTACAACTGCAGTTTGGAGTCTGTTTACAACCCACACTATCATTTTCCTGACCCTTTGTGTTTCTAACCTCTGCACAAAAATGTCGCTTCAGCGGAGCTAGTATCCTTCTTGACCATTGCGTTAATTTACTTTTTCACTAACAATTGCTATTCACTTCCCTTTTTGACAGTCCTTCCAGACTGAGGCTTGCTGACAACCATGACAAGTTTCCTGCCTTTGTATCTGTACTAAACAGCTAAGCAGGATGTAAGTAATATGAGCCTGGTAGCCCTAGCTAAGGGGACAAAGTGCAAAAAGGAAAGGCACCCGCTCATATTTCCATTTTGAGATTTTATGAGATCTGGTTTGTTTAGTACATTTGGTAATATAGGAAACAGAGGCATGTTGGACCATTAACAAGACATTGAACAAAGATCATCCCCCTGAGTTGGCAGCTTGCCACTGCTTAGCCAAAAACACCACACTGCTTGCCAAAAGCATAAAAGATGGAGCTAGATGCACTAGACTTCTTATCCAATTTTGTCACAGTCTTGCTTTGTGTAGGCTTAGACTTGTAAGCAGTCAGATGTTGAAAACTCCTGGTCAGAGAGAGGACATATGGAAAGGAAAGGGGATAAAGAGAGAGGGGAACAGTGAGAACAGCGGAAGAAGTTGAGAGACAGAGGGAGATGTAGAGAGAGAAATATGTGCCGAGGGAGAGGTCAGATCGGAGGGACATCTTGACGTAGCCTATGTTGCTGAGATACGTATAAGACTCTGCGTAGAGTTACTGTTTCTCTCTCCAGATGCAGGCTGACCTGCTGGGTTTTTCCTTTTGTTCATATTTCAAATTTCCAACATCTGCAACTTGAGGGTCATGAGGCCTCAGGCAAGGAGAGAAGTTGAGAAGGAGAATCCTTTGTCGTAAGCTCAGCTGGTGCGGGATTTGAATCCACAGTGTTGGCATCATCTGCATTGCAAACCAGCTGTCCAGCCAACTGAGGTAAAGCAACCCTAATTGGATAAGGTCTGAAGTATTGCACATGGTTACCTGTGGATAATGTCTGGCAATGATGATTTAGCATGTTTATGTGGATTTTCAAATGTTGCTGACTTTTTTTCACCCAAATTGTGAAATATGTATATACAAAAGTCTGAAAGCTCGACGTTAGAATACCCTCTGATATAAACATAGATTTTCCGTATATAGATTCATTTCCAAGCAATTGCTAAATGCATATGAAATGTCAACAATAACGTATTTAATGTTTACTTCCAGATTCTTCAGATGGCAGTCTAACTGCTTCCACACAACAGGGTGACCTAGATGTTTACATCTGTCAGCTGGGAATTGTAGATCTGCTAACTCAAGAAGGTGAGATTGTTACAGTACTCTTGCAGATGATAATTTTATATGAAAAAAAGTTGAACTTCCAGGGAGAATCTTCTGCGGTTCTTTAAAGCTCTGCAGATTCCTTGTCTTGCACCGGAGAACAAACATTATCCAGCATTCTGCCTTGGAGCTAGCAGAGAGCATCTTCTCTCTCTCGTGTGTGTGTGTGTGTGTGTGTGTGTGTGTGTGTCTCTCTCTCCCTGCCCCGCCCTCTCTCCCCTCCCTGCTCTCCTCACTGCCCCCTTATCTCCTTTCCTGTATGCCTTCTTTCTGACCAGGACTTTTTAAAATCTGATTGCTTGTGAGTCTAAGAATGCACAAAGCAAGAACAGCAGTTTCTTCCTTTGAATTATGGCAGTTAGGTTTCAGTAAGTCTTAACCTGGGAGACCTTGGAGGAGTGGTGGGGATGTGTGGATTCCAAAGCTTAAGGTCTGCTGAAAATGCAGGTGCATAATGGAACAGTTAGTATCAAGAATTCTGAAGAGGACAGAATTAGAGGAGCGCAAATATCTTTGAAGATTGTGGACAGGAGACGATTGCAAAAATAGATCACAAGAGCTAGGAACAGAACTAGGCCCTTGGGTCCACTGCGTTCATTCTACCATTCACTGAGGTCATGGATATCTTTTATTCCTTTTATGTGACGAGGGTGTCGCTGGGTGAGCAGCATTTATTGCCCATCCCCAATTGCCCAGAGGGCAGTTAAGAGTCAACCACATTGCTCTGGGTCTGGAGTCACATGTAGGTCAGACCAGGTAAGGACAGCAGTTTCCTTCCCTAAAGAACATTAGTGAACCAGATGGCTTTCTCCTGACAATCGACAATGGATTCACGGTCATCATTAGGTTGTTAATTCCATATATTTATTTGAATTCAAATTCCACCATCTGCCGTGGCGGGATTTGAACCCTGGTCCCCAGACCATTATCTGGGTCTCTGGATTAACAGTCCAGCAGTAATACCACTAGGCCATTGCCTCCCCCCTATTCTTATAATCCTGAACTCCACTTTCCTGCCTCATCTCCACAACCCATGATTCCCTTGCTGATCAATAGTATGTCCGTCTCCATCTTGAATGCCCTCTGTGATAAAGTGTTCCAAAGATTCACTACTTCAAAAGAATTCATCTTCACTTCTGTCTTAAATGGATGACCCCTTTATTCTGCCCTCTAGTTCCGGACTCTCCCGCGAGGGAAGACAACCTATCTGCATCTACCCTGTCAAATTCCTTAAGAATGAGGAGGTGTTGGAGGACCGGTAACGTCAGTAGACTCATAAACCAATGTTCAAATCCCACCATGGCAGCTGCTGAAATCTGAATTTTAAAAAATTCCAGAGTTAAAAGAGAACCTTATGGTGACCATGTAACAACCTTTTATAGTTACTAAAATTAAAAAATCGGGTTCATTTTAGGAACGTGCCTTTCAGGCAAGAAAATTTGTCATCCCTACCCAGTTTGACCCACTTTTCTTTATTCATTCACGGGATAAGAGTGTTGCTGGCCAGGCAGCATTTATTGCCCATCCCTAATTGCCCGGCTGGCAGTTTCCTTCCCTAAAGGGCGTTCGTGAACCAGATGGGTTTATCCTGACAATCGGTAATGGATTTATGGCCATCATTAGACCCTTAATTCCAGGTATTTATTGAATTCAGATTCCACCATTGGCCTTGGCTGGATTCAAACCCGGGTCCCCGGAATATTATTTGGGTCTCTGGGTTAACAGTCCAGTGATAATACTAGTAGGCCATCGCCTTCCCAGATCCACAGCAATGTGACCAAGTCTCAACTGCCCTCTAAAATGGCCCAGAAGTCTACTCCGTCTAAGAGCAACTGTGGATGGGCAACAAAATGCCAACCTTGCCAGATATGCCCACATCCTATAGAGAAATAAAGAAAAACTTGTATGTTTCAATGAGGTCACCTTTCATTTTTCTAAACTCCAATGAGTACAGGCCTAACCTACTCAACTTGGAAGTGACTTCTTTAATACGTTTCCACCATGTTTCGATATGCTGCTACCATAGTTTGAAATGGACTTTTGTATTACTGGTGTCTACATATACAATCTTTGAAGCTGCTCCTTTTTTTTTAAACCACTCCTCTTGTTCTCTAGTTTATCTTATCTTGGAGTAAGACTTTCCCATTCACTTCAGTACTGTAATTTATTATTTCTATATTTCTATGTATTTATTGTATAAATATGTTATTTCTATCGTAGAAGTTCTGGAATACAACTCTCTAGTGTAGTGACTAAGTCCTGGTCTTTACATGCTTCTCTCTGGTCTCCTGAGTTGCACTGACCTCTGAGTGATGGTATCAATTACTTCTTTGTCATTTGTATATTTCTGTCTACTACACAATGTAAGCTAGTAATCAGAGGAGATGGGTGAACAGGACATGGTGTTAGTTGGAGTGTGAGCAACAGTGTCTTGGATGCCTTCAATTTTAGAGAGAATTTGAATGTTGAAGTCCAATTAGGAATTTTGGAGTAGTCAAGTCTAGGAGTAACGAAGGCAAAGATGATTGTTTTAGCAACAGATGAACTGAGGCAGGGTGGAATGTGATGCTGGTATGGATTTGGAAATGTTCCCAGATGGTGATGACATCTGGTTGGAAGCTCACTTGATGTTGACTTGATGTCGTCAAAGTTGTGAACAGTTTGGTTCAGCCTTGTGCAAATGCCAACTTGAAGAATTGGTTCAGCGGCTAGGAAACAGTTTGTGGCAATGTCCAAAGGCAGTTGATCTTATTCTTAAAATGTGGCTTTATTTCTGTCAAGCACTGAAGTTGAAGTTGGTTACCTGGAAGAGCTCAAATACTGCTTCCCAGTGTGTATCTGCAGCATGTGACCTTGCGGATATACATCTAGAATCTGTACTCAATACAAAACTCTAACATTTTCCTCTCTTTTAAAGAAGTGAATAATCTGATTGTGCAAGGTAAAGAAGTGTCTGCAGTATTTTTACTTCTATATTAAAATTGTCAGCATGAGGAGTTTTCTAATTGTGAAGTCTGTGGTTCGCACACTTGAATTGCATCTCTCACTGTTTTGTATGGTCTCTTCTACACTCCAAATTTTGTGAACATTAGAAAGGCTTAGACTAAACGTGAAGCAGTGAAATTAAGTTTTCTGACCATGGTCTATCCTAACCTCGAAAGATCTCTGCCCATCTAAGGATTATGTAGTGACAGGCACAACATAGAAATGCCTCGATCTTTATGGCATACCACGACCTTTGTTGGTTTTGCTCACTAGCAAAGTGTGTTGATATGTGCTTTGCTGTAACCCAAATGTCGTATCAGCATATTTCATTATGGCCTGTATTTTCCATATAAATTCCGAGATTCATGTTTGTTACATCAAACAAATCTGTTAAACAAAAGCGTTAATTCCAAAAGTTAGCTTTGATTTAGTTTATAGCCATAGTTATGCAGAGACACTTAAGAAGTTGCAGGTTTTTTCACAGGTTTTTTCATTCGTCTTCAGAAGTATGAAGGGATCTTAATGGAAGACTTCCAAGTTTTCTTCCTTGAGTCAATGAAACACTAAGAAGGGAACCCAATTTTTGTGGCAAAGAAAATAATCGGAGGAAAAGTTCTTTACATAGAGTATTTGCTACAAATTGTTTAAGCGGAATCTCTAATTATTGTAAGTTATTTGTTTGAGAAAGAGGAATATTAAAAGCAGGAGTATGAAGTTGGGTTAGATGGCTCATGGAAAAAATTATTTGCTGGGAAGTGTAATATTTTACTGCACCAACAGATTCTGTGATGTGTATTTCACATTTTAGTAAGTGAATATCCTTTCTAAAGAGGTGAAGAATAATCTAGTTAGTTTTCTATTATCAATTGTATTTTGAATAATGTATCCAATAATTTATCTCCCTGATGTTCATCATTACACAGCACCTTAAAACTTTTCATCTTCTTACCAATTTGGCTTATTGTTGAACAGTATTTTGATTACCCATTGCTCAGGCTGTCAGCCTGTTCTCTCAGTTTAGGGTCTGACGGCAGCTGAGTGCTAGACATGTATTGTCTGAAAGGTTGTGGGGTGGAGAGGTTTTTAAAAATATCTCCTAAATGTACAATTGTCTCTTGGGCTTATGGGTAGTACAATGAGGCATTATGACTGTTAAGTATGCATAACATGGGTTTATGTAAACAGAGTGAACCTAAAAGTCATATTCCCAATATTGTGGTTGGCAGCGTGCCTTCGGAGGTCGAGAACTAAGCTTGTGAATCAGGCAGGCAGACAGGCCTTAGTACACTTGGCACTAAACTCTCAATTTCACAGAGAGAAGCATTTTGGCAGTTTTTGATGCAGTTATTCCAGCATGTTCTGGCCCCCTTAGTGGCTCCAAGTTATGCTAATTCATTATAACTGGCCTCAAAATTGACTTTCTGTGTTCTTTATTGAGCATCTGATTTAGTGAGTGACCAAATAAAACCTACCCCCAAAGGTATCAAAACTATTTGCACCAAGTGTCTATTATCCAAAGCTATGTAATGACTGAGATTTTTCATTCTTTGATTAGATGTGGGCATTGCTGGCATTTGTTGCTTAATTATCTTTGAACCAGATGGCTTGTTTAGGCCAGTGCAGCGCACACCCTCCTGCAGTGGAATCGGATAAGTCCCCTGACAGACCAAAGATCACCTCAATCCCACTAGGCACCGGATCCCTTTGACACTCAGATATGGCCATTTGGTTAAAACACAATGCATTTGCTGTGTAAGCTGTAATGTTGAGTTAGCATGATGTTCACCCCCTTGACTGTTTAGTGCCGCAAATTGAGAAGCTGCTGTGCTTCTTCCTTTACGCTGAAAGCAGTGCACTTCACAGATGTTGGCAGGTTCTAGTTAAACACAAAATGAATGGGATATAGATAAGTTGAGTGAGTGGGCAATAACTTGGCAGGTGTAGTTTAACGCAGGAAATTCTAAGGTCACGCACTTTGGTAGAAAGAATCAAATGGC